TCTCTAATGAATTTTAGTTAAACCAAAGTAAGGCATCAAATGGAAGGAAATGTTGGTGAAGAAGGACTTGGTAAAAATGTACACTGGCTGAACACAATGTTTTATGGTCAAGGTTTAATATTTCCTATTGAATTCTGACTGATTCATCATAGCATCTTGGCAGACATGGAGCCTTTGAAATCATTTTCATATCAGCATGCCCATCCATCCAAAGTATGGAAAGTAACAAAAACAGTCTAGCACCCATAATTAAATTTGAAGGATAAGAGGATACTAATTTTAAGTAATTATACCACCTTACTTCATCCAACTTCTAGATTTAATTTTCACTTCTTGAGGGTAGGGACTGAATCTAAGTATTCTCAGTTCAAAGATTACTACAGGACCTGGACACAGTTAGCTGCATAAACGATGTTTTCTAAATAAGTGAATAAATCAATGGCTATGAGATCATGAGGAATGATGATCAAAATAGCGCAGATTTTCATCTATCAAATCAGTTAAGGTAAACAAAACAAATTATCCTTGTGTCCAATTTAGCTTGAAAACTTTAACTTTTTCTATGATAAGAATAACAATTATCTACTTACAAAGACACTGGCTTTAAAGACAGAAAACATGGACTTTACCAACATACCATGTGGTAGCTAGAGAAAATTTGAAAAAGACAAAACATATTATTACATTTAGAAGTTTAGATAGAAAGTTTTGTTTTGTTTTTTGAGACAGGGTCTCATTATGTAGTTGAGACTGACCTGGCACTCAGGTTGGAACTGTAGCCCAGGTTGGTCTCGAACTCACAGTGATTCTCCTGCCTCAGCCTCCCGAGTGCTGGGATTACAGGCATGCACCACCATGCCCAGCTAAATAGAAAGTTCAGAAATAAATTGCAGAACTAAAGAAATATACTGTAATTTTGTTCTTTTCATACATAAATTCACCATCAGTTAGATTAAATCCAGTGTGCCCCAACCTGGGGCTACAGGTATGAGGTTTTTAGAAAATTTAATGTTTTTCAACTGTGTTTTAAGTGGATTAACTTTATAGGTTTTTTTTATTACATAACATAGGCATTTTACAATAACATTTTTAAATGATCATAAAATATTGCTGTACATGAAATGATATGAAAGTTGCCAAAACAGATCTGCTGGTTGGCAGGAAATACCATGTAAAATGTGTACATAAATATAGAAATATGGAATTGTCTAAAAGTACTGTATAAATTTTCACAAGATAAAGCTTCCTTAATCAGTATGTCGCCACTATGAAACAGGGTCTCCTGAATATTACTTTGGAATTCTCAAACAATACCCTCAGAACAAGTTTACTTAAGCACAGGCAAATTTCAATCAGGGATCACTGTGAATGCTTCTCGGTGTTTAAAAAAAAGCAGTAATTAGAAATTCAGTCTTACTGCCTCTGGGTGAGTGCCAATAATACTGTAAGTAAAAATAAGAGGGTTCAAATACAAGTAGAGAAAAATCAAAATGTTAAAAGTTGAAAGAAATCACACTATAGCTACTCCATGGAACAAAATGGATCCAAGGCTTAGAAGTTGTAAGCCTCATTCTCAGATCTGGGCCATGGTAGAAAAGGTCTCTGAAAGACCATAGCCATTTCTCAGAAAGAACTGGCAGAGCAAAGACATAGTAAGACTTTTCACTACTGATCTACCACACAGTTTCTGCTTAATATCTTTCCTTTCTTTTACATGACCAGTGCACAGTCTGTACCTACCTAATTATTGAGGAACTAACATTGTGTAGATACTATACTAAGGGAGAGTTCACAAATAAGTGAAGTAATCCACATTCTAGAAGAGAAATAAGTATGTATATAAATATTTACAAGATAGCAAGGTAAGAGCTTATGATACAAATACAAAATGAATAAGGAGACTAGTATGAGAATATTGTTTTGTGTAGGAAGAATACAAGACTAACACTAAAAGGAAGGTCTTGCATATGTTTCATTAACCTATATAAAAATCCAATAAGATTAATAACATTATTAACTATCAATATAAGTGGTGATTTAATATTATTATTTCAACCTGCTGAATACTTCTGAATTTTGTCACTTTTATGAGATTGCTTAGTAAACAATTACTTTTATTGGTCATAAAGCTTCTGATATTTTAACTAAATGGTTTTTAGTATTTAACAATTTATGCACTTCCTCAATTTCTAAAAGTAAAACAGAAGTACTTAAACATAAAAAAGTAAAAAAGCAAATGTTAACAATTTATAAGTATTATTGGACATGACCCGATATAAGGTCACTAGATCAAAATGAAAAATTACGAAATGAATCAAAAACTTACTACCAACAAGCAAGATCAGTCATGCTATTTGGAGAATACAGAGTAATATGTAGAAAAGTTATGGTGATTTGAAGAGCAAAGGGCAAAATATTAATAATATAGTACAGTAATCAGGAAATAATTCAATGCCTTTAATACATAACAGACCTTTTGCAAATCGTTGGCAAACTTAATAAAATACATAGTACTGACCCTGAAGTTGTGTAAAAAAAAAGAAAAGCAACTTTCAAAAAATATACAATTAAAAACAAAATTGCTCATTTCATATTTAGCCATACTTTTGAAGGAAACATCACTATGTGAAATCTATAGAGTACAAGGTAGATATTTTATGTAAAATAATAAATTGTACTAATGCAAGGTTTCTCTCAAAGTATTAAGAGCTTCAGATTCTTAAACCCACTCAACCCTTAAATACATCATTAAATTAATATGTGAATTCCTGCAACATGTATGTGTATGTTCACTCCAGTTCTGGAGCCTCAAGAAAACCACAGAAACGTAAGAGGTCCTGCATGGAGGCAGAAGCAGTTGTATACCCTATAATTCTACTCTTCATTAGAACGACATGCAAACTTTTAGTTTCAAGGTACCTATAAGAATTCTACTACCACCTTAAATGCCGGAGTCAATTCCAAGGGAATGACAAATAAAATTCAGCTTTTTGTTGATTTAAGATTTACCCTGAAATACCGAAGATGGATCAAGTCCACCTAAGCAGTCCCTAACACTCAGAAGGTACTGACTCAACATCTCTGGAATACCTTCTACCCATACATTCAAAACACACTTAAAAATAGATAATTTCATCTTCTACCAGCACATCTAAATTTACTGAAAGTCAGACATTGCTAAATTTGCAAAATTATCACTGTTACTATAAATAGGAAATAAGCATCTATGTGCTGTGAACTATTTTTGTTAATGCAATTGATTGAGGCTCCGTTTTCCTGAAATATCTCTGTATATTGTACACAATCTATCAACACAGTGAAGGGAGAACAGAAAATAAGAGCAAGTATAGCAAGAAAAACCTAAGGTAAAATATAAAACAAAAGAGAAGAGCAGGACGTGTGAGTTCAGAGAGGCCTCTGAAACAGCAAACCAAACCACCTCATCTACTAGTTCTTCCTTTTTTTTCTTACTCAGTTTTTAAAGAACTCTCTCCCAAAAAAGACTCTCTTTTTAAAGACTATAAAAATGTGAAAATCAGTATATTTTATTATAAATAACCAGCTCAACAATCTGTCTGAAGCTGTCTGCCTCTTGGCACGCGTCTAAGCCCATCTTTCTTCCATAATGTGGAGGAATGATCAAGGTCTCGGGCGCTCAGCAGCAGGGTAGGGAAGTTGATTACATTCTCAAATGGCAATTTTTACAAAGGCTTAAAAATTATTTGTTTTCTAAACTCCACAAACACATTGTTCATTTCAGCCTATGTTAATAAACAGTAATTACATAATATGAATTATCCAAATAATCCAAACTAGAATTCTGTCCAAAGATCCATCTTTGGACATCTTAAATCCATCTTAAATTCCACAACTTGTATTTCAGAAAAGGAAATACAAGAAAGTCTTTGGGCATATTGGCTATTTTTTACGTCTTATGATTTACCCATCAGTTGGAAAGTGGATAAAGAAGATGTGGTTTTTCTATAAAATGGAATACTACTCTCAGCCATAAAGAGTGAGAAATTAGAGTCACTCATAGGAAAATGGATACATATTGAGGATATACTCCTAAGTGAAATAAATAAGTCACACGTGTAAATACCGAATACTTTCTCTGGTGTGAAAAAGTATAATAGTACATAAGATCCTAATGATATAATTGACAATGTGAAATAGGAAGAAATGGGCTAAAGGTGTAGGGAAAATGGGAGGGGTAGGGGAAAGGTAATAAGGGAAAAGAAAAAAATATGAGGAAATAAAAAATGTAAATGAAGTGTTTGTAAATGGGGAGAAGAGGGGGTGGAGGGAGGGCAGGGACAAGGGGGAAAAATGAGAATCACGATCTGTCTTGTAAAGGTAAAAGATCTCAATGATGAATGTAACTGTACTATATACCTAAAATGTACCAATAAACTCAATGAGAGGAAGAAAGAAAAACATCAAATCCATTTATATTTATTGAAAGCCTACCTAGAGACAGGAAAGGAGTTTGTATTAGAGTCAACTTTTGTAAATTGGGAATTTGAACGCTTCTTGATAAGAACTGTATCAGGAAGATATTTTTCTTTGATTCTCTTATTTTTACCTCTAAAGCAACCACAGACTTATATGAGAAAGAAGCCACATCTCAGAAGAAAAGAGATTTGATTGAAAACATCAACAAACAGTTATCCACTATAGTTTGCTTAGGGCTTACAATCTTGATTATAAGCAGAATCTGACCTACAATAAATTGTATAAATGATTAGTTTTTAATAGCTGTGTCATACTGAAATGAATGGCACTATGGAAGTAGGACTACTTAGATAAAATTAAATTATACATACCAAAGAAACAGCAAAAACAAGTTCTATATAAACTCAAACATGAGACCTTTATAAATAACCATTTCAAGTAAAGCAATTTTCAGTATTACTTCCTGAAACATTAAGATGAAGAAAATTGAAAAAAAGAAACATTAATAGGGAAAATAAACAGGGCTAATTAAACCGTTGTTATACCTGCCATGCAGTAAGGCAAGAGGTGCACATCAGATGCCCACAAGGCTCAATCTTGACATCTTTGTCATTTTCTGCACAAATTTTACATAGCTGAAAAGTGGAGCCCATTTCACAATATAATTCATACTGTTCCTGGGGAATATGGGGAGAAAAAAGGCAATGTTAGTGTATTTCTACCATAAACTGTTAATCTTCAATTTTCTCAAGCATAGTGACTTATAGTAAATATTTTACATTTTATCCTTCCAGAACTATGTTACCATTTAAGACATGTATTGATAATCGTAGTTTGGTCTATCAAATCAATTTTTGACACACTTAACTTTTAGTAGCAAATTCATAAGCTTTTTAACACTTTGGATTATTGAATGTTTTATACTACTGCCTGGCAAAAGGACTTGCTTCATCAATCACAGGGATTCAGAAGACAAAACCTTTGATTTAAAAATGGTAAAATAAGCCAATTACATTCTTTAAAATGTGACATGTTCATCTTATTCCACTGTGAAATAAAGTAGATTCTAGCTGAATGTTAAATTTTATTTCTTAGATATCTTTAGAAATACAATGGACAATAAGCAACACACTGCTGTGTGCCACACTGCTGCCACATTTATTATTTATATACTCTAAAGTTTAAGATGTATTGGATTTTTTTTAAGTTACGTAACTCTAAGTTTGTGTTATTTCCCTCAAATTCTAAGTCTCTGAGTCTAAAGTTCATGCACTGTTCCTATCTGACACTGTCAAGAAAACTAATCACTTCAGAAACCAAAAAGTGATTTATTAAGTTTCGGATCCTTTGATTTACTAGTATTTTAAACTAAGAATGTTTGGCATAGTGAAGTGTGCAAAATTAGAAATGTCTAAGTCACAAAGAAGATACAGATTGTTAAATGTAAAAGAAAAATTTATAAAATGCTGCTTTATGAGGAATAAAAAAATGAAGATATCATGAAATCAAATTATATATAAAGCCATGTTTTAGCCCTACCAGTATCTGACCTTGAGTAGAAAAAATGAGTGCCAGAATTTACCCAACAATCTGTAGAAGACACTAAAATATTACAATCCTGGAGCAAAACGTGTGTGTGTGTGTGTGTGTGTGTGTGTGTGTGTGTGTACACAGCATACACCCACATAGAAACACAAATACATACACATGAACTTTATATACTCTGGTATAAATATATATGACTACATACATAATTTTTAGGAAAGTAAAGAGATAAGTGGATCAAGACAAGAAAACTAAATTTAAAGTAACTTAAGTAATGAAATATTGATTTTCTTGAAATAGTAATTATTGATACTGGTTAAGACTATCCAAATAAGTTTGCAATTATGAAAAAATTCTAACACAGTAAAATCATAAATGTTGCTCTTAATGTAACCCAAGAGGTAAAAATATTAGCATTTTAAGATAATATTACTCTTGAAGATTTTTAAATAATAGCTCCATAAAGAGGAACTATCTCTTGTCAGTGACCCTTTACACATTACTATATAAGTTTTATACATATTTTAAATATATAAATTTTAAATATAAATTTTAAATATCATAATCATGTATGACATTTAAAAGTTATCCACAAACTATAAATATAAATGTCAATAAATAGGTTTCACTTAACACTATCAAAAATGGAATGAAGCCAGGATAGTTACAAAGTAAATTATCTTCTGGAAAAAAAAAATTCGCTCATGTTTGGCTGTTTTCCTTGCAATTTTTAATTACATATTATGGAAAACATAAACATATCTAAAATATAAGGTATTTTAAAAGTATATTGTCTGTAAAATAAAATATTCAATTTTCTTTCATCTTCTTTGATTTTCCAATCCTTTTAATCCTCAAATACTGTCACCAGTTTTATTTTTGAAATGTGTATGTATATGTTCAAATATGGTTTCTTATATGTTTATTTCTAAATACTGGACTTATTTTCAAAATGCTACGTAATCAAGCTTTACATAAATGGGGAGTTCCCATGGGACTATATAGAGTTCCTTTCCTCTGGTTGATGATTTCATATAACCACTTTGAATATACCATAGTTATTTAATCTCTTAGTAAATATGTTGTTATAGTGTTATTTTGTAACTTTGCACTTCTGATACTGTGAGCAACTTATTGGACAGGTCTTTATGCGTTTGTGTACATGATACAAGTACAGAATTTAGAATAGATGTTTTCAGTTAGACTTCTATAGTTATTGAATGTATCTACAAAAGGCCTCACTCAAAATTCTGAGATAGCCAAAATCAGATTGAGAAAGTACTGTCTTCAATCATCTTTACTCATTTCACTCCGAAAGCTACAGCAAAAATTATTCTAATCATTTTTCTGGTTTTCTTACCTAAGACTTTGTCTTCACATCTATATATCTAACTACAGATTTATCAATTTCTACATAAATGCTAATATTATACTGCAAGCAAGAACATTAAGGCCAGAATTTTCTAAAATATATAATTTCTTTTCATTTTAGAATTTCTGAAGTTACCCTTTGTATAAAACACTTGGCATGGTTTATCCATAGCTAAGAGGATATTCTGATTTATTTCAAAGGTATTATACATAATTATGTTTTTCAAGAAATTGTCCTTACCTGTGTAACTTTTATGTGATCATGGGGTGTAGGTTCACATAATCCAGTTAAATCAGGATTATAACTCCTCCCATCAGGATAAAGATAACTGAATGTAAAAAAAAAAAAAAATCTCTATTATCTTCAATATACATGTTTTAATTGTATTTAAGGTTAAATACTGAGTCATATACTGAAAGACATTTTTGTTTCTTGTTTTTTATAACAAATAAATCACTTTCACTGTTTTCAGAATATATTTTTTAGGATATGTGAAATGTAGAAATAATTTCCGTACAACTTAGTGGATTCAGACACTATTTTTAATTAAATCTCTTTAATATATGATCCTCATAAAAATAAACAATGTATTTTTCTGATTATAGCAATTACATTATATTCCAAAACAGTTTGAATATACTTCTACTTCCAATTATTAATTTTTTCAATTTTATACCATGTTTATTATTACAGGTAAAGTAGAAAAACAACTTTCTCAAGTTACTCAAACACTTTTTTCTGTTGTTTCTTTTCCCACAGTTTTCTAATCATTCTTCTTTCTACTCAGCTAATACGTGCACAAACATACATAATGTACATTTTTTAAAAATCAGAAAATGTTAAAATTCCACATTTAATTGACTTTAATAAAACAATGAATGGTCTTATCAAAGCAATGTTCTATTAGAACAGAAATCTGAACTAAAGGTTATAATACTGACGCTATCTTGCTGTAAAATCACAATTTTTACTCAGCATTCAGAAAGTCAATGAAAATGAAGATTTTTCTCAGTTAATACACACTTTTAATTAATAAATGGTAATATTACTGCTAGGTATCAATTGATTAAATTATGGTTAGTTTTTTAATATCTTTCTATAGTGGAGGACTTTACATAAAAATACTTGTTTAAATAGTCTACAACAATGTCAGTAACTATTAGAATTTATGCAAGAAACAGAAAAATGAACTTATAAGATAGATAATTTTTTTTGTTTGTTTGTTTGTTTTTTGGAGACAGGGTCTCACTATGTATTTGAGACTGACCTGGAACTCACTATGTAGCCCAGGCTGGTCTCGAACTCACAGCGATCCTCCTGCCTCAGCCTTCCAAGTGCTGGGATTACAGGTGTGCACCACTATGCCTGGTGGTAAATAATTCTTATACAGTATGAGAAAGAACAGTAAAATGATTTCTTTTAGGGCAGGGGATTTATCTCAGTGGTTCTACCACCTACTTTGCAAATGCAAGGTCCTGAGTTTGATCATCAGTACCAAAAAAGAAAAAGAAAGAAAAAAAATGATTTCTTTTATTAACTTATGAAAAGAGTTGATATATAAATACAATATAATCTATAGGGACAAGTTCCGAATACTACAGATATTAAAATAAGGAAATAATAAGCAAAAGCTGTTAAGTATATTTCTTTTTATATCCTAAAATAACCATTAAATTAATTATATAATATTTTATCACACCTCAAAATATGTAGAAATTCTAGGAAAAATTCAGAAATAATTACAAAAAAATACGGAGAAGAGAAGAGGAGGCAAGGGAGGAGAAGAGACATTTTAAAAAGAGAAAAGAAAAGAAAGATGTTAAAAAAAGGTAAAAATTTTCTATTTAACGAACAGGGGCCGTTTGATGATTGACTTGTTCTGTATACTCAGGAAAGTGCTGATAAGCCACCTTTATGGTAAGGAAGGAGTAAGCAATTTTTGCTATTTACCAAAATAAACTAAGTTGTCATCTATATCATACAATATTGGATTAACTAGAAGGAAATATGGCTGATATTGATAATAGATGGACCAGATGACCCTGTGGTTTACTGATCTGAAGAAATTGCCAAACTTAACAAATATAACATAATCTATTTTATCCTTATCTACTATGCAAATTCAGATTCAACTAGCCATTCCCTCTGAAGATGCCAGTCTGTGTGTGTGCGCGCGCATCTTGGTGTAAAGATTAACAGTTATTTTGCATTAAGACTTCAGAGGTTTTGTTACAATGATTATAATACCCTATCTTTCACTGGCTTTTAAATCTAGATGGAAAGTATAGTAACAATACAAATAAGAATATCAAAATATTCCACTTACAGGTTTCTCTTCTCATACTTTTGCAAAGTAAAACTCTAAAGTAACCTCTCTTTAAAACTAAAAATTTTACAATTATAGTGAGTCAAAAGCTGCACATATGAATATTTAATACACACAAATTAAGGTAAAACAAAAAAATATTATAGCAAAGTTATAAATACATATTTGTTTCTAATACGTTTGTGTATTTTCTATGTAATTTCCTAAAAACTTGTAGCTTTAAAAACATACACTGTTTCTTCACATTTATTTCACACATATTTCTGTTTTTTTTACTTGTCTTACTTTCTTATAAATATTTTCATCACTATATGTTTGCAGTACGTAATGATTATATTCATGGTGGGGAGTTGAAGTCAGCACATATACATAACACACTTTAATTCTTTCTTGCACCATTCTCCTTCCCTCTCTCTTCCCTCCATTATTCGTTTGGTCCCCTTTATTCTGCAAAAGATCCATCTCCTTGTTTCCTATTATCTATATCATTTTCTTTTGAATTTGTGTTCCTTGTATCAGAAAAACCATGAGACAGACATTTAAGCTTGTATCTGGTTTAGTTCATCTAACATTATGTTATCTAGGTGCATCTATTTTCGTACAAATGACTCAAGTGTATCCTGTTTTTATTTTATTAGTAAATATTTGCAGTGCATGATGTACATTCACCTTAGGGAGTAGATACATGTGCTTAACATATTTTCATTCTTTTTATTTTATTCTCCTTCCCCTCCCCACCCAACTCTAAACTCCCACCATCTCTAAACTTCCTTTCTCCATTTTCATTATTATTATTTTTTAGTCCATATTTGCAACACATAATGATTACATTCATGGTGGGTAGTTCGCATATGAACCTGATGCATTGTAAATCTTTTTCATGTCCCTTTCCCTTCCCCTCCCTCCCAAACTTGTCCTTTACTTTTTTTTTTTTTTAAAGATAGGGTATCACTATATAGTTGAGGCTGGCTTTGAACTCACTATGAATCCCAGGCTAGCCTCGAACTCATGGCCATCTTCCTGGCTCCACGTCCTGAGTGCTAAGATTACAGGTGTGTGCCACCTACCCTGTCCAGCTTCCCTCAACTTTTGGTCCCCTTTCCATTTGCAAAAGATCTATCTCCCTTTTATCAATCTTTTATCCTTCTTTTTCCTTTCATCAATCTTTTATTTTGCTTATTTGTACTATGGATAACTCAAATGAGAGAAACTTTATGATATGTAAGCTCGTGTGTCTGATTTACTTCAGGTAACATTATGTTTTCAAGGTGTCCTTTTTATGGAACAGTAGCACTCAAATTAACTTGCTCTTCACTAACTCTGGTGGACTATCTACCTCCTGCCAGGTTTCTATCATAATCCATTCTTGCAAATGGGATTACCTGTATCTCTAACATACTTAAGAAATTTTTAAAAGACACTGTTGGCCAGGTTATTTGGCATATGCCTATAATCCCAGGTACTCAAAGTCTCAGGCCGGAGGATTACAAATTGGAGCACACCCTGAGCAACTTAACTAGACTCAGAAGAACAAAAAAGGGCTGGGGATGTAGCTCAGTGGACGACACTGGATTCAATCCCTAGTACTGCCAAGAAAAAGAAAAATTTTAAAAAAGAAATGGTGCATGGAGACAAATCTGGATAGATTACTATTATGAACAAAGAAAAGAATACACAGAAAAAGAAAAAAAGGTAGAGAAAGAAAAGGATAAGAAGGAAAAAAGTAAAAATTTAGCACTATCAGTCAAAATAAAAAGTAGCAACTGTATTATTTAAAAAGTATTTAGGTCTCAATGTTGCCTGAGAGGTACAAACTGAGAATGTAATTTGTTACTGTAATGTATTTTTTATAACATATACCTAGTTTCAAGTAACTAGCTTGCCTTAAAATGACTAAAGAGATGAACAATACGATTTAAGCAATACACATTTCTCAGTCATGAGATGAAAAACAAATTGTCAGCCTATCTACTTTCTCCATCACTGGGCAGGCTCCATTTTTTAAGTCTGTGAGTCATAAACTTGCCAAATCCCATTTCTCATACTCACAATCCTTCCCTGCTGCCATCAATCAGGGCTTGAAACAAGGGCTTGTTGTGAGGTATGGTCTGCAAGATGTTCCCATCCCCAGTCACGTAGCCAATGGCCCACTGTCCCAGTCGAGTGCAACTTAACCGGAAAATATAGCTAGAAAACACAAGCAAACACTGTTCAATCATATTCAAAAGGAATCCTAAACATTAATTTGTTAGGCTTTTCAAAAAGCAAAATGTGAAACAACCATTTAGAATTCCTGGCAGAAATTTTTATTATGTTTCTAACAACATCATACCTCTGTGTTTATTGAACTATAAAACAAGTATTGATAACAAATTATTTTCACTTATATATCTCAAAAATTATATGAGAAAACATGTGAGTTGTAAAGTTTCACATGATTTACAATCACCACTATCAGGGATGCCTGTATGAAAATGCTGCAGATATGAAACAGCTATGATATAAACCATTTTTGAGAAGTAAAAATAAAATAAATGAGTAAAAGTTTAATTTTCCATCTCAGAAACTGATCTAATTTGCATAGTGGAATTCAACAGATTACTTTTAGATATTAAAATTATGCATTTTAACTGTTAAATAACTTATTTAAAAATTTTTTTCAAGAATTTCTGTGATTTATTTTTAAATCTCAAAAGAGCTGAATTATAATAATGGGAATGCATACTAGGTAATTTCATATTTGCCACTTAAACCTGCCAAACTAAGGACTGTATCTTTCACTATAAAGCCAAAATTGTTCCAAACATAAATAAAATGAAAGACAAATGCCTTAAAATGAATTTCCAATGAAAGGATGCATTGACCTGGCTTTAAATGCATCATCGTTTATTTCTTCATTTAGCTGTCTATGTCAGTTTAGATCATTTCTTTTTAAGTGTATTACCCTCGATCTTGCCATCATCAATATCCATATCTGGATTTTACAGCTCATTAAATAGATCAAAAGTAAGTTAACTTAAGTCTGCTGGCTACAAGATTAATGCTATATGAATGCAAGAAATAAGAGAGAAATAAGGGAAATAAGTATCTCTTAATTTATGTTAGCTATTGACAAACCAAGTACTGTACAACAAATTTGGAAAATATAATTTAGCACATACAATGGTTACACAGTCACCAGAGTTAAATAACCTGAATAAATAACACAACGTAATTTCATCTACCAGAGAAATTAGTTTTTGTAACAATGGAAAAATGTGATATTTTAATGTTAAGATGTTCATACTGGTGACAGAACCATCTTAAATGACCTTTCAAAGAAATCTAAAACAATATTACCCTAAATAGCTTGAAAGTAGGGATATCAGCCTGACAATTACTAGCATTAATCAGAATCAGATAAAATAATTCTATACAGACTGAAGAGTACGATGTTATGAAAAGTGGTATAAAAATAGAAACTCACTTAAGTTATAACTTACTTCAGAAGATCATTATTACTAGTTACATTAAGAAATGTATATGATACAATTCTTTCAAATAAAAGAGTAAAATACAGGAACCTTAAAGTATCTGTAGAATATATGAAAATATAAAACATAAATCTACATGGTTAATATTTAAAAGTAATTCCACATTTCATATAAAGAGCCTAATAAATACTGAAAAGCATTCTTATGAAATTGCTGTTTTTAACTAACATCCCATTTTGTTTTCTTAAACGTTCTTTTAAGATGATGTTTCTAAAACTGATCATCGGGTTCAAGTAATTCATGTACAACAGCAGTATCATTACTAGTAATTTGATGATAGTTGACCAAATGGCTTTTTAGAACAATCCTTCCTCTTATGCACATTTCTGTTATTCAATTTCATTTGCATAACATTTTCTATCACTTGATGCTGACCCTTTGTTGGTAGCTACTTCTGAGCTTCAGGAAATCAATTTTTGTCTTATTTTTAGTACCCCCCTTTGCAAAAATGGTATAATTAACATAATTGTAAGAATATGTTTTATGTTGACACGGTCATTTTTTATTCAAACACTCTTTAACACTAAGTCATCCAAACGTGTCCATGTGTGTACTGAGGATGGCATCCTATCCCCAACGCTCAAATATAATTTCAGCACATTAGTTGGAATAAAAGTGTCCATGGAACAGATCCAAGTATTTTCTTTACCATGAATTCAAAAAGATCAAAACCTTTTAGGAAAAAGACCAATGGAACACATGTTCTGCAAAGAAAATATTTAACAAAATTAAATGATTTTTTTTTCACAAAGAGTTTTCCTAAATATATTTTAAAATTTCACATCACACTTTGCACATTACAGGTTATTACAGCTATCTATTTCTTCTTTAGCTATTCAAAAACCCAATCATAAGAAATCCTTTAATAAAACAAAACAATCATCTAAGTCCCCATGAATATACAAAAAAATTCTCCTTAATCTAAGCAGAAGCTTCACTAGCAACCCAATTATCTCCTGTACCACCAGCTCCTCTTAACACACCATATTAATTCTTTAAGCAAATGAAATTTTCACTCTGACAGAGAAGAATCAAAAGTGTTGGCTTAAATCTACGAAAGGATAAACACCAAAGCTACTAAAAATCAAATCAAAATGATCCTTGAAGCACAAAGTGGGATTGAAGAACATATCCATTGTTGAAGGAAATGATCTCTATATTAAAATCAGTGCACTAATGGGCAGCAAAATGATATTCTCATGCCAAAATGTGACAACTCTGAGCACAGGTCTCTAATGTCTCTATTGCTGTACTCAGACAACTGCTTACCATAACAGATGTCATCACTCAAATGGCTAGCTGGGACATAGCAGAAAATGCAGTTATCAAGGGAAGGGACAGATTTTCTGGTCTTACATTAGTCATTACACCCAAGACCTAGCTAACTACTCAACCTCTGTGAGTCTCAATCTATTACATAATTTGTAAAATAAAATAATTTTTGAAGCTGTAAAGAGGTTTGAGGTATTACAGAAGCTATTCTCAGGGACATGAAGTTAATTTGGATGGTAACAATGGGTATATATGTTTTATGTATTTATCATATACAAGTATACATTTATACATATCTATTTGTATTACAATATAAGTAAACTCATCTATTTGTCTTCATATTCAATACTTAAGAAATGCAAGTATTCAAATATCCATATACAGTGTTGTATACAAACAGAAATTTAAAAATAATCAATATATGTTAATATTCTTCTCCAGTGTGAAAAGCAGAATTCTAAGGCTAAATGAATCTTTAAGTTTATCACATTACACAGTAGCACATCCCCTTTCAATTCATGAACAGTAAATTGCAAATCAAGCACCATGCATCAATTTAAAGGTCACAACTGAGAAGCACCATTTTGTTCTAATAACTTCCCCACCCCAGGTACCCCTGGTAGGGGTACCTCTGATTTATTCAGATAGGAACCATGGATGATTTGTTTCTTTAAATCTGTTGTAAAAGGTTACTGTTGCAAAACCTTACCTTCCAGGTTTGGTGCTGTACTTCTGCAGGCGTGCCTTAACCTCATCATAAGTGAGAAATGCCATGTACCCAGGATGTGTCACAGCTAAGAAATTCCAATTCCGAAGAATAGAGCCCCAGGGCTGAAAACATAAATTGAGAGATTATCTAGATAGTATCAACCAATGACTACATACCAACTCATTATTTCATACCCTTAATGAAATTCTACTGAATGTTTCTGTACTTATTTGGCTTGAGTTAACCTTTGTAAACAGCAAGTATTTTGTTCTTTTTTTTTTTTTGAGAAATGTAATTAAACAAAAAATATCTTAGGAATAGAATATAAAGAACAAAAAGGAAAGCCTTATAATCTCTACATAGTTTACTTTCATACAGCATTTGTGCTCACTGTGAAACATAAACTACCAAAGTTTTTTCTTCAAAACTTTCTAATCTTTAAATAAGAATCAAACTCTTTGTAAAGAGCTTCCAATGACTCCAATGGGCCTAACATTGTTTGCTCTCAGGTAACTTTCTGTCCCAGCCTATTATCACACTTCCACTTCCTGTCTCTTCTGTCATTGGCCTCAACATCAGCCCATCTATCACCATAGTCTTTGTGTATGTTGATTCTTCTACCTAAATTTTCCCCTTCCAAATGTCATGTGATGCCCTTCTCCAATATCCCTTCCTCAATGAAGATGACCAGCACACTTAAAATAGGTACCTCCTGTCACATTCCTCAACTGCTACCTGTATGTTCTGTCCACTGATGTGCCCACAGGTGCCTCATTTTGTACAATGACAAAGTATACCTCAAAAAGTGTTTTGGCAAAAGTTGCACATTAACATAAGCAACTTAAAGTCAAGGCACATTTCCTGTCTTGCTCATCCATGTATACTGACAGACATACATAGTGTCAGATACCCTGCTGTTAAACAGTAACTTTTATGGAAACATAAAAGGTAGCATGCTACTGTACTTTCTTTTGTTTTAAGCTTACAATTATAAAATTAGGAAATCATTTAGGGTTTCAAAATGAGTTATATTAAAAAATTCACAAAATACCTCGTTTGTATCAAAATATCAATCTTTTATCTGATTAGTCATCCCTCCAGCTCCCATGGAAAGAGAAAAAGGCAGTCAATGATAGACAACTTTACTTGAGGGTGTGGATGAATCATCTGCAATTATTTTTCAGGCTGAGGTTACATTTATTCCTAGGAACTGGCAGCATACTACATCTAATGTGCCAGATTCTTAACTCAAATCCTCTCCATGAAAGAAAGAAAAAAAAAAAAAACAGGTAATTTATGTGGCCAAGTTAAAATTGATTTAAGATACCATGGGCTTGACTGCTGATAGAATTCCTGCTTTTGTTTGTTTTGAGACTTGCTCTTCATTATTGTACATCAAGTTTCAAATTTACAAGGCAGAGTTCTTCAAAGATTATTTCCCTTGAGATGAGAATAACAAGGGAAAGAATGACTTCGTAATAAAGAGTCATTTAGCCCTTTTTGACATAACAAGAAAAATCTTTAGGGTATTTCCTCATCACGCTAAAATATCTGAGTTTAAAAGGAGCTCCAAAGAATATTAACACGGGAGGTTCTATTTGTGCTTGGAAAAAAGCATATTTTTAATTTTGTTTTAAGGTATGACTAAAAAATTACATACACAAATATTGGGGATACTTGCATTGAAGTCCACACACATTAATGGAAGAACTACTTTTTAAAATGCTAAACTTCAGACTGTCAATGCATAGGTTAAAATACAAATTAAAAAAAAAAGAAGTAGGAGTTGAGAGACAATTACCGCAGTATTTAGCAACCATTTCTTACTACATGATCCAGAGGGCCAGCTTTTAATTACAAAAATATTTATATAATAGGATGAGTCTGTGTGCTGTTTATTCATTAAATGCAGCCCACTCAAAACAGTCAAAAGCAGGAGTTACTTAAGTGTGCTTTTTTTCCCTTTTTAAAGTATCTTGCAAACTAATGGCTTAAAGAAGGCAAGGCAAAATGTTTTTGAGAATAATTTATTATCAAAGGAAATTTTTTCATATATACAAATCTAAAATCACTTAGAAATTTTTAAACTGTTAGAGGTTAAAAAAATGAACTAATTAATCCTTCCATCATGCCTAATGCCACTATTTTCAAGAATCAGATAATGACTTAAAACTTCAAGTAGCTTGCCCAGATACTCTTCATATGTTCTTTGCTATAATTGATGACTTTCTTCCACTTTATTTGTCCTCTTCTTTCCCAGTAATGATCTGTACTTCATAATAATTAGGACAGTCCCACAACACTCCTTTCTTACCCTGGCACCCTCAAATGCAGTACCCTGTCTTTGATGACCCAGTCTTCCCTAACAGTGAAGAAAAATAGAAGGAAGAATGAAATAGCAGCTCCCAAGACAAGAAAGAAGCAAAAGCCCTATATTTCATTTCAGGACTTTAGTACCTGCCTATCACAAAATCTCTCAGCCACCTAGAGAAGAAAGACAAGGATAAAGGCAGAAGAAAGAAGACAATATGGAAACACACACACATACACACAACCAGAGAAGAAGGAGGAGGAGGGAGAGGGGGAGGAGGAGCAGAACAAGACGAAGACAATGACGACCATGATATGGCAAAGGTAAAATATAACCACAGGAAGATGATTCTGAATACTCTCCAGTGTTTACTCAATTTCTACCTGGGTATAAAGGTCAGGGACCAGAGGAAGAGCCACCTTCTTTCCTTCCCTATTCAATTCACAACTTTAACCCCTACATTACGTTTTCTACCTCAGACCCAAATCCTGAGTGTACTTTACACACTTTCAGATCACACTGCCCATTCTTCTACCCCCCATAATTCAGGGCTACTAATACTAGTACCATGTAGTACTGTGTTACAGTAAAATTTGTCTATGAGGTTACACTGTTAACACATCTTACATTCTACCTAGACTATGTAAACTTAAAGACACCACAATATAATAAATGTAAGAAAACATTGGAGTTTTAAATTCATGTAAAAGCAGATCATATTTTAAGGCACATACATGATTACTGTCAAAGCACTGAATAATTATAGAAACATAAGACAATAAAAAAATTCTCCAAGAATTTTTCAGCTCCTTCTGCAACTGTGTGTTTTAAGAGAGATTAGGCATTTAGCTTAGTTAATAATTTGGTTTTATTATCTAAAAGTTTTTACAGTAGCTCTCCTTAGAAGATTCCTTTCCTTTTTCATTCCAGCAAATATAAATAAGATAAACTTCAGAGTATTATTTTTACTTGTGCAGTTTTAAAGTGAAACTGCTCATAACAAAATAGGTATGCATATTAAGCTGAAATTTGGGTAAGAATTTAACCAAAATTAAGTTGACCCCATACTTCTAATATATAACTCTAGAGCATTCTAGCATTTAATACCCACACTAAAAAGTCATCCAAATTCCTCACAGAAAAAATACTCACTTCCTAAAAAGAGCCATTAGGTTTAGTATGTGAAAATTGCTTCAGCTTTTTTACTTCTATAGGGACAGAAGCAAAGTTGTTATTTTTATTTCTTGTATCATGTTAAACAAAGGATGTGTTTATTCTGAAAAGTTACTGAAAATCTTTAAAGAAAGGAGAGCTTCTACTATAAACAATCAGTATTGGGTAACAGAACTCTTTTCTAAAGTGTGTATCTGAAGCCTGGTGTGGTGGTGTACAACCCACACATCATCCCTGCAACTGGGAGGCTGAGCCGCAAAGGATCCCAAATGGGAGGCCAGCCTGGGCCACACAAGACCCTGTTTCAAAAAATAAGTGAAGAATATCAACCAATGAGCAAAACACATTTTAGAATACTTAAAGAAATGTTTCAAAAAATAAGCGAAGAATATCAACCAATGAACAAAATGCATTTTAGACTACTTAAAGAAAACAAGCCATGAGCCGGGCAAGGTGGTGCACGCCTTAATCCCAGAACTCAGTAAGCCGAGTCAGGAGGATCACTGTGAGTTTGAGACCAGCCTGGGCTGCATAGTGAGTTCCAGGTCAGTCTCAACTACATAGTGAGACTCTGTCTCAACAAAACAAAACAAAACAAACAAGCCATGGGCTACGAATTTATCTCAGTGCTTTGCAAGCACAGGTCCTAAATTCGACCCCCCGGTAACCGAAAACAAAAGTACATGTGTGTGTGGTGGCACACACTGTAATCCCAACCCTCAAGAAGGCTGAGGGAGGAGGATAGTAAATTCAAGCTCAGTTTGAGCAACTTAGTGAGACCCTGTCTCAATATAAGAAAGGAAGAAAAGAAAACCAAGATGGAAGGAAAGCAGAGAGGGAAGGAGAGAGAACAAAGAAGGAAGGCAGGGAATAGAAGGGAGGGGTGGGGAGGACAAGATATAAAAAAAAGCACGTTAGCTAGCTAGCTAGGAATTTAACACAGTGCAAAGGCCCCTATTTAGCTAGTCATACTACACATATTGAATAATTATGATTTAAAACTGCAATAAAGTAAAATGTATCCCATACATATGGTTGATAGGAGCCCTTTTGTCTTTTATTAAAAAGCTCTTTAGTTAATTAGAAGCTAATCCAGTGTGGGGAATTTTGTTTTCTTTTTTTAAAACATAAACCAGTCACCTTATCCTAGCTGGTGAGTGTCACAAGCAGAATCAGAGACGTAAAATTCATATAGCATGGAAAATACAAAATCAAAGTTATACGGTAAAATTTGATGAAAGTTTCAATCAGAATAAATGATACTGCAGATTAAACTAAAAACTGTCAGAATACAAACAGCCTCATATCTAATCAACTTATATCACTGTGAAATGTTATTAATTATAAGACTTTTAAGTGTGATTGTTTTATTTTATGACTATGTCAATTAAATCCAATAGATAATATGCATTTTAATGGCAAAATCAAATTCAAAACACAAATTTTAAATGTCCATGGTATAGTAGATGGGACATGATAACTGAAAAATCATTTTGATGAAGAATATGACATGGAAAAACTTGTTCATTATATACAGCCGAATGAGCAAACCAATGTGTAAAACTATAAAACCACAAGATATTTCTATGTAGAAATTTGCTATTTCTAAATTTACTACTTCCCTTCTGACCTAACTAATGCTATAGTTAAAGAGGAGTTGGGACAGAATGCTGGTAAATGCCCAGATGTAAATATGTGTGTGTTTTTTTTTCTTTTTTTTGGTACCAGGGATCAAACTCAAGACCTTGTCTTGCAGGCAGGCGCTGTGCCACTGAGCTATACCCCTGGCCCATAAATGTTGTGTTCTATCAGGTTGGTGTTGCCAGAACAAAGGGATAATCTAAGTAGAGAGTTTACAACAGAAATCTTTTGAATGAGTCTTCCCAAAACTAACCAACCAACCACCAGGCTCACAGGACCTGATATTCCAATACCAAATGACTCACTCACAACTTACAGGAATGAATGACCAAACATTTACAGGAATAAATTCATGAACTACCAAGAATTCAACCTTTTTTTTTTTGTTTTTTTCTGGTGTGTGTATGTGAAAAAGAGAGGCAGAGACACACACATATACACACATACAGGGAAGGGAGCAGAAGGGGAGGGAGGAGAGAAGGGCTAGAGGGTAGAAAGCAAAGGACTGATACATTAAGCAAATGTAAAGCTTACCTGAAATAGCCTGGTAAAAATATCAAATTCAAATACTGAAATGTAATCATTGAAAGTTAAATCAATTGTTGATTTTAGAGCCATTGCTTCTAGGCCAGAGCTAATCTGATGGACTTCATGAAGGCACTGTCTGAATACTTTCCATGGTACAATAGTTCTGTGCAAGGGAAAAACAAAATTAATTATTGAATCAAATGACACTGAACACATATCTTCCATTAAACCACAAATTTTAAATCATAAAATAGTAACATTTGCAAGAAAATAAATATTTGAGAATGCTGTTCATAATTCAGATCAGAGGTAATACTAACATTGTTATGTTTCATTTATGAAGAAAGTTAAAAGAAAGAATTTCTCTTTAAATACCTCAGCTATCAAGATATCTTTACAAACACATTCAAAGGAAGTATCAGGTTCAAAGTTCTATGCACCATGACCTCTTCATTTGTGCATAAAAGGTTATTTAGCTTTGGCTTCATAGTAAATTCTATCCTTCTGTTTTAAGACAGTTACAAGAGTATCCATAGAATAGCAGGAATCTTTATTCACTGTACAAAAGAGTCATGTGTATATACTATTTCAATAAGTGTAGGGTGGAAAGTCATAAAGATTTCTGTGTCCTCTTCCTAATATTTTCTGCGGAGATGAAAAACACATGTAACTTCATTTGTATGCAATGAGAAATCTTACTTTTAAAAAAGTAACTATAATTGCTATCTCACAGGAATTCATTTATCTAACATCTAATCATTAATTCATCCTCAATACACATCACATATCAAAAATTTTAGTAATACATTTACACGTTCAAAAAGTTTAGAAGCACACAGAATAAAACCAGGAAGTTCTATCTCCCAACCAAACCCCTACATGACTAGTTTCCAAGTTTCATTCATCTTCCCCTCCCCCATGGAAATTAATTAACACCCTTTATATACTGCTTGGTGATGTTCCTCCTTAGGTCAAATGCTTATTGCTGAATCGATAGAAGGAAACCATGCATATTTTTCAAAATGTAAATGGTAGTTTACAAAAGAATTAGCATAAGAATTAATATGCACCCTTCTAAAAGATAGCAAATATTTAAATCAAGTTTTTCTTTACCATTGTCTCTTTAGAAATAAAAGACTCAAACAGAATGGACAAAATTTTGCCTGGCCTGGTTGTATATCAACCATCCCAATGGAGAATTATCACTGAGTTTTACATTTTTTATTCATGACTGGGAATCTAGAGTAGTGGCTGTCAACCTTAGCATCCAACTGACACATACAAAGGGCTTGTTAACACAGAGACTACTCACTGCCCACCCAAGGTATTCTGTAGTCCTGGGCGGAGCCTGAGAATTGAGTATTAATTCATTTCCCAGTGACTGATGTGCTGCAACCCACATCTTGAGTGAGCACATGGACCGACTATCCATCAATTGCTAAGTCAAGCACTTTCAGGGACACAGAACTATGGAAACACAGGTACAAATTCTGTTTTTGAAGAATAAATGCTCCTAGGCCAGAACCAAGATTTGTAGTGCTAAAAGAATACAGAGAGGAAATCTATAAGCAAGTACTCCTTGATGGATGCCCAGTGAAGAGAAGTCTACGAGAGTGGCATGCATGAATGATAAAACAGGCTCACAAAATGATACTGCATTTATAAGAAAGTTAAGGTTTGATGTACCATTACAAAAAGAAAACTACGAAGCTTAATATCTCAAAAGGCTTTTCTCTATGTACGAAAAAAACAGGAAACCACAGAAAACTGAAGAAAGACACCACATCAGATGCCATTTAGAAGAAACATACGTCAAACTGATTAAGGTTAACAAAATGCTGCTGGCATAAAAGAACAAGGCAAATGCTTAATAATATTAGAAAGCTTTTGATTTAATGTGAAGTATAAACATGCAATTATGTTCAGTTTCATTACAGTGACCATGAAAGTAGTGCCTAAGAGGCGCATTTTTCTTTTCCAAACTAAAGTTTCCAATAATTAACACACACAAATGACATAAACCATGGTGGGAAAAGAGTTGATCAAACAACAGTTGATTTAAGAATGGCACAGATATTTTTTTGTATGGAAAAGCATACAGTTGTTTTATGTATAAGGTATAAAAAGTAAACATGCTAAGCAAGTAAAAACCACATTTGTTTTGTATGGAAGTTAAGAAAAAACACTGGTTAAATACACATCTTACTATGTTACTGTAAAAATATCATTATGCAATATTTAAGGTAGATGGAAATAATGATTTGAGTACCCAGTGACTTCTCAGAGTACATTATACAAAATGTACAACCTCTATTTGACAAATGGAAAACCCCCATTTCTGCAGTACTTGTGTTAATGAAACCTTGTCCCAGTTCACTTACGATAAACCTAAAGCCCATAGAGGCATTCATTCACTAAAACTTCATTAAGGGTAGCAAAAAGGAATAAGAAGGTAAAGCGTTATTTGGTTATCAGAACAACAGATTTTCCTTCTTTGATCAACTCAGAAAAAACACTCTTGTGTAAGAGAGGATTAGTGGGAAAGGTATTCCCAAATGAAGACTAGAAAAATGTCTTTAAAAGCAAACAAACAAACAAAGCAACAGCTTGTACTAAAGCTGCCGCACACAGGGCCTAAATTTCCCACAGAGAATTGGAAGTGGTTACCACTTTCTTTTCCCGAATTGAGGTGGTGGGAGGAGATAGGGACAGAATAAATTTTCATGCTTTTAATGAAACTGCAGAAAGACAGTAGTATTTCTCACTACCTCTTCTTCCCTTAAACATAAATCCTGGGAGGGAAAATATTAATTAACATTAATGAAAATATTGTTTCAAATCAAAATATGCAGAAACTTAAGTGTGGACGAAACCTAGTAAAAAAGGGTGGGGGGATGAGAAGGAAAAAGAAAACAAAACACTAAATGAGCCAACTGAAGCTTAAAGCTCTCACAGATCACAAAATCTTTAAAGTGCTCTATTTGCCATACAATTAAGAAAAACACATTTAATTGCAAATTGAATCACTTTATAAAAATATACAGAAAAGCACAACTCACTATCAATCTACAACTAACAGAACACAAGACCAACAGGAAGGTAGGCACTTATTAGGATAATACAATTTAAAAGTCTCTAGACTTCCAATAAATCGAGCATGGCTGTCATGCAGTGGTTTACTATCAGCCACTGCTACAAAGAAATCTTTAATGACTTGGAGAAAAGGGATAGTTTTGTTCATATGTCATAACAATTTAATACATAAGGCTTTATTATAGTTCTATTATTAGATAATGGGCTCTAGTCTCTTGAACAAATAGCAAGTTATTGCCTTTAGAAGTCATTGTTTCTAGAACTTTTTTGAAAATGTTTTATTTTTATTAGTACATATTTGCAGGACATAATAAATATATTTATTGTGGGGAATTGGTATATGTACCTATCTCAATTCATTTTTCCCCTTTCCCCTCCACCTGCCCCCATTTTTTGCCAGCATAGGATTCATTTACTAACCTTATAAGTCCTTATAAAGTTAATTATCAGTTTAACAGATGAATTAAAACAGGCCAAAAACACATAAGATGATCTAATAAATCAAGGTATACTTTTAGATATATTGTCCATGTTGGATTACAATTACTTGTTGCTCTTCTTTACAATTCTCTTTTATTGTGTACTCTAGAGTTTCTCATATAACAGAAAACATGTGATATTTAAGCTTGTGCGTCTGATTTACTTCATTTAAAGTTGTAGTCTCAAAGCACATCTATTTTTCTACAAAGGATTCGTTTGTCCTTTCTTGCAGAGTAGTACTCCACTGTGTATAAATAATACCATACTTTCTGCATCCATTCACCTGTCGAATATAGGCTGCTTCATAGACATATGGGCTGTTTCCAAGATTTAACCATCATAAATTGTGCTTTTATAAACATGGGTATACCTACATAATTGTGCTATGATGTCTTTAATTTTTTTGGTAAAGAATCTGTCCAACAGAATTTCTAGCTTTAGTTTTTTGAGGAGTCACCTTACTGATTTCCACAGTAGTTGTACCAGGTTACTCTCCCACCAATAATCAAGAGTGTCTTGAAAAGTACAATTTCCTTTCAAAGAAAATCAGAACCCAAGATCAGCCAGATGTAGAAACTGAAAAGGTGTCTGTGAGTCAGCACTTCACAGATCACACAATCTCTGGGATCAGCTCCTCCTGGGTAGAAATGGAAGCAAGTATTCAAAAGCCCAATTTTAAAATCCTGTACTTCTAAGGAAAAGTAAAAGGACTAAAATAAAAAAATAGAGAAGTGCTAGGAAGTTGATTTTACAAATTTACCTGCAACCTCTACTTCCTCCAAATTACAGGTGTTACTTGTTATATTCCATACAACAAAGGTGTGAATTTGCCCAGTGTAGTGGAACATGCCTGTATTCCCAGCACTCTGGGATTCCATTCGAAGTTCCAGCCTGAACTAGGCAACAGCAAAACCCCATCTCAAAATAAAAAGAAAAAAAAGCAGGCTAAGGAGATAGCTCACTGCAAAGACCCTGGGTCTGATCCTCAGTACTGCAAAAGAAATAATCAAACAAAAAACAAACAACCAAACAAAAAGTGATTATCAGCAAAAACAGTATAATTCTGCAGTGAATGAGAATTTAGCGTTTCTGGAAGTCAATCTATAAATTTTGACCCAAAAAGTCTACTTTTAATGAATTTGTCTAAAGATAACTGTGTTCAAAAAGTGTTCAGCAGTGCAAAATTTCACCCACACATCTCTTCAAGCAGGTTTGTTTATAATAGCAAAATAATAAAAACAAGTAATTCTGAGTAACAATAGAATACAACATTGAAAAAAATGTTATAGCACTTAAAATTGTACAGAAAATAGTGTAATGTAAAAATATGCACGATATACTATTAAACGGCAATAGTATTTTTAACACTGTTGCTCCCTTTAAGATCCTACATTCAAAACTATTTGTGATGTCCAGAAAAGCCATTACAAATCTAAAGTGATAACTGGATTGTGAAAAAACTATAAGTGATTTTTAAAATTTCACTTCCTGAGTTTATTTACATTTATAATGCTTCTTTCTATTGTATCCTAATGGATTCAAGTAATAAAATACATACTAAAACATTAAAAATATTTAATCTTAGAATCA